CTCTCTCTCTCTCTCTCTCTCTCTCTCTCTCTCTCCGCCCACCGCCACCCTCGACTCCGCTTCCGACTTCGCCCCGGTCATCCCTAACCCGTTAGTTAACGACTTAGCTAACAGTTTGTAACCTGCGTTTACTAAGGAAATCGGCCTCCAGCTCTCGAGTTCTGTTCTATCGCCTTTTATGGAAAGCAAGGTGATGATCCCTCTTGTCATTGTGCTCCCCAACCGACCTCCGGTGGGGATCTCGTTGAACATTTTGACGACGTCTGCTTCAAATGTGGACCAGCAGCATTCGAAGAACCCCTCGCCTTCAGATGTGTTTTTTTCCTTTGGCCGTTTCCTTCATCGTGCAGTGCAGCTCTTCACTCCTATTAATAATAGGTTTGTCCAGCATCTGGCGAGGAGTAGTGAAGAGCTTCACTCCTATTAATAGGTTTGTCGTGCATCTGGACGCAACTTACAGCATCGGGATCGGGTGGTCTGTGCGTGTTCCTCTAGCACCGTCTCCCACAGATCTGTAAGTTGCGTCATTTCAATGTTGATGTCCTCCGTTGGTCTTCTTCTACGTAGTGAGTGTATCCTAAAAGTAAGTCCTTGGTCCTTGGCGTAGGCACACATCCCTTCGATAGAGTATGTAACAGGCATATTGAGTAGTGTCTCCTTTGATGCTTGAACTCCAGCATGATCATAGGTACCAGCCTCCTTCTTGGTAGTAGTCTCTGAATGGCCTCCTTTGATAGTATGTCTGCTGTGACAATCCCTTTTCTTCTCCCAAAGAACTTGTTTCCTCTGTCTCTTTCATTCTCTACCTGAAAAGCTCATCCCATTGCCTTTTAGTCTGTGCTCTCTCCGATATAGTATAGGGTGTCCAACAATTCTCTCCTCTGCCTGTTCTACACGGCGTGCTGACATTTCCCCCCTCCCTTCCCCCCCCAAATCCCTGAGCTCCAGAAGAGAGTTGTACTGTTGTAGTCATCCCTACGTAGACTGCTTCTGCTGCGTGACCGCCGCACAGGCGGGCATTTTCGCAAATGGCAGGGCGTCCGGGCATTGTCTTTTCTAACTTTCTACCCGTGTAACTGCCCGACAGAGCGAAGAGGCAAACCGGGAACACGTGGCAAATACCAACTGGCCTACGAACTGTTGAAATGCAGACCCGGGTTCGAATTCCAATGGAATCAGATGATGAGTGAAAATAACTCTTGAATTTACTGATCAGATTCAAAGCTGATCAGTTTCCATTGGAATTCGAACCCGGGTCTTTATTCCATTCCATTGGAATTCGAACCCGGGTCTTTATTCCATTGGAATTCGAACCCGGGTCTTTATTCCATTGGAACTCGAACCCGGGTCTTTATTCCATTGGAATTCGAACCCGGGTCTTTCATTAATCTGTTCAATGGGCCTGGTCAGGTGAAAGCTGATATCTCAAGGCCATCGCACGAGATTGTCCCACCGCAGGAGAGACGGGAGTGCGGACAAGCTGCGACTGTACATTTCTTTCAGTAATGGCGGGAAGGACGAACGATTTACCAGCACGGGTAAAATTCAACTGTTGTGCACTGGCGGTCAATCTCGAGCAAACACTTCGGGTTGTAGATAGGCCGCTGGTCCCCCCGAGTGGCATTTAGCAGAGACTGCTGATGTTCACAGCGATTGGCCCATCGAAGAAGCTCGGTCCTGATGCTACCAGCTAACCCCTGGCCGGTATCGCCCACCTACTGTAGCAGGTATCGCACGTACTGGTGGGTGCAGCTCCCGCATGTTCCCTCGTTGGAGGCTTGAGCACGGATGTGGCTGCTACGGGGTTCCCCATATAATACTCTAATGACAATAAAAAGGGCTGAAAGGCCGTCCTGTCCACATTTGACAGGTAATTGAATTGGTTGGGCCTTTATTTATTTATTTATTATTATTATTATTATTTAACAATTTGAGAGAGAAGAAAATAAGTATAAGAAAGAAAAGGTTCTCTGACAAAAACTTCACGTCGGCAGACTGCAGGGTGCAGTAGGCGGGTGAAGAACTTCGTTCAGCTGTCTTCTTGCAGATCGTTGCCATATCTCTGGTTTCGCGAGGTCGGCGGTAGAGGCGGCACGTGTGCTGTGGCAGCTACGTGGAAACCGATGGTGCCGGGGCATCTGGTCGGGGGGGTCATGACTCTGAAGGCCGTATCGCCTTACGCAGTTTCATGTTATCAAACGCAGGGCGCTCGCGCAGCAATTGCTAGATCCGCCTTGGCTGGTCGCACCGCGCTTTTCCGCGAGTCGGTGCGAACCGCCGGCGCGCTTCAGCCGCTGGCACATCTGCGGGAAGCGTCGCGCTGCTTGCACACAAACTTGTCTCTCTCTGTGCCTTGCCACTCGCTTGGCCAAGCGGTGCTGCGGTGTGCTACACGGGCATCCCTTCCCGCAAGGTGGGCGGCTGCTCGATGTCTAACGTTCACTTATCAAAACAATTCCCGTCTCAGCAGCACGACGAGAGCCCCTGAAAACCTGCCACGCGTCGATCCCTGCGTCTTCTCTTTCCAAGTGGGGGCTCGTCGTCGATGTTCATCGTATCATTCTGCGGGACTTTGTATCCCTTCTGAAAGCTGTGCTGCTGGTGGTGATGTGGATGATCTGCAGGTCGCTTCCTATCAGCCAAAGGAGGACCGAGTGATGCCTGAAGGACATCTCCCTTCTGCGGCTCCGAGCCCGATTGACTCAGGTGACGTAGTACCAGCAGCGTCCCACAGAGAGAGCGATAGGAGGAAGACGGGGGGAAGCTCACCCTTAGAGAGCACGCAGGATCGAGTTATGGCGGGGTCTGTCGTCCGCGTTGGAGTTGCACAGATGACGGCAACAGGAAATCTCGAAGATAATTTTGCCACGTGCGTCAACCTTATACGGGTACGTCTGATTACAATCCGATTTGCTCTGTAATGTGTATCTCCTGGGAAAAGTCCTAAAGGCCGAAGGTGTCTATATTTTGGGGTGGGGTAATTACTGTATTCATTTCTCGATTTGTGCTTGTCATCCTTGCGCAACAGCCGCGGTACCGCGGTAATCTCCTCTCTATCGTTCCAATTTTACCTTAGCCATCTACCACCCCCCTTCGCATGACGGGTGTGCGGAAAACCGATATCTTCAGAAGGCAAATGTCTGTCGCCGTCCTTCGGGACATCCGTTAAAATTGGAATGATACAGAGAAGATTAGCATGGCGCCTGCGCAATCAAGGATGACACGCATAAATCGAGAAATGGTCCAAATGTTCGAAAAAAAAAAAAAAAAAAGTCTGTCGCTTTCCAGAATGGAAGTGGAAGGTGACCTGCACATCGCGGCACACATCATGGATCTGGCGATTTGCAAGTGCAGCGGGGGCTAGGTCCCACTTGCACGAATTAGGAGATACCGTGGATAACAAAGATCAACGGCCGAAATCTCGTAATTTGCGCAAGTGGGACCTTGCCCGAGTCCTGAATAGGACAAAGTCCTCGTTTTTAAACCACCAGTACGTCCTGAAGGCGCAGCGGTTAACGAGCCCGACTTTCGGATGAACGGGGCCTGGGGCGCTAGTATGAATTCAGTCATGTGGAAACGTCAAATGTCGCGGTTTTTTCATGTGGCTGGCCATTAACGAGGCGCAACTTGCGGAGGAACACGGTTCTTTGTAAAGTGTGTCCGCTTTTCACATATAGCGACTGCGCTTGTTTGGCGAATGAGTGTGTGTTGACGTCTTAGCTAAACACGATTTTGCAGGTATTAAACGTGGCTGTGTCAAGATCAAGACTCACTTCACGGATGTTTTTGGACGCACCGCCTCACCTAAGCTAGCGACCACCGACTTCCCCCGAACACAACGCACCCTGATTTTGGCTGTATCTGGCCGGAAATATAGCTTGTATACATTCATTTTGAGGGTGCGTTATGTTCGGGGGAAGACGGTAGCGATGCCCTTTCTTGAGAGATGTAGTCCATCTTTATTGGCACGGGACCTTGCGCCCTTAGCAGAGTGTTCGGCTCAAACCCTTGGCAAGACCGGCCTTATGCCCGGAAAAAAAATTGATAGTATCTCTCTCTCTCTCACACACACACACACACACACACACACACACACACACACACACACACAGAGAGAGAGAGAGAGAGAGAGAGAGAGAGAGAGAGAGAGAGAGNGAGAGAGAGAGAGAGAGAGAGAGAGAGAGAGAGAGAGAGAGAGAGAGAGAGAGAGAGATGATCGGGGAGTTTCAGGACACCAGCAAACGATCCAAATATAGAAGTTTTAAGGGATTAGAGTAGATATTCGAAAAGACAAAGAGATAGGCGCGTATTCTCAGACAGAAAAGTATTTTGGAATAGCCAGGTTTGTTTCCAGCTACGAGATAATTTTGAGCAAGCCAAAGATCAGATAGGAAAAGGATGAGGAAGATTGGTCTGGACGTTAGCTGTAGGGGACTGTGGGAAATGGATGCAAATTGTGAATCTAAATGTGTTCTTTAAGAAGTTAACGGGTGGGTAGTAATTGAGGATTCGACTGCCTCCTGAGAGCAATTCCAGGTAGATGTATCCATGAACTGGGATGCGGCCGTGGTGGCCAGGTGGCAGATCCCATCCTGCACAGAGAGAGAGAGGATATGGTGGATATGGAGGTGGATCTGGAAGGCTGATCACGCAAGCCAGTGACACCACATACCACACACCATGGACTCACACTGTACACAGCCGTACTCCAAAGACTCACAATGCAGGATGAATGGAAGTACCAACTGCAGCTGGGATATACCCCATCGAACTGACTGGACTGGACTGGACTGGACTGGACTGGTACCCACTGGACTGGACTGAATACCTGACCTGAGAGGAAAGGTAGAGGGAAGAAAGCCGCGACGAACTATTGAACAAGTGTAACGCTACGGGAAAGGTACGAGTATTGACCACTCTTGCATCTAAAGCTTTCATAATATCGGACTTTGAAACTGGGAAATTTTCAGCTAACGCGCCTTGATAAACACCGGAGTTGACTTGAGGTACGCTGGCCATGCTATATATATGTCGGATAGGAAGAGGATACTCTAGTAAGCCCCAATATGCTTAATAATTTGAAGACTTAGGATTTATGTAATAGTGTACTGCAAAGGATATGAGTAGAATGTTTTTAAACGTTCAAAGGGATTACTGGTGCAAAGTTCCTTGGACTTCAGTTGAGAGTTTCATCTTCAGATCTTAGACCAGGATTTAAAAGGCCTTTATTGATAAGATAAGACCTTTCTTGATAAGAATTATGGTAAGATGCGTGCACTTCTCCCCACCAATAGACGGAGCCTCTCCCTAGGTGTTAGTGGTGTCTGCTCTTATCAGCAGCACTAACACTGGCGGGGGCATTGTAAAAAAAAAAAAAAAAAAGATGCGTGCACTTCAGACAAACTGGCACAACGTTACACACCAGACTCTTAGACGTTCGACGACGTGTCACTATGGACAACTCTTTCGAAAAGACGAATGGCATGGTTCCACAGGCTGAACAGACAAACAGCCCCAAATACCCTCGGCCTACAGCCAGGCAAAGAGCACTCCTGCAATCTAGGAGGGGGCATAATTACGGTCCGTACACCTCTTTCGAAAAGACCAATGGCATGGTTCCGCAGGCTGAACAGACAAACAGCCCCAAATAGCCTGGGCCTACAGCCAGGCAAAGAGTACTCCTGCAATCTAGGAGGGGGCATAATTACGGTCCGATGCATTCCTGAAAGATCGAGTGTGAGTATGCTGTAAGTTTGTTCCTAAAAAAGCTGACACTGGAAAAAAAAAGAAAAAAAAGGGTGAAGGGTGTGTGTGTGTGCTCATTCCTCGTAGTTGAAGGTGGACTAGGAGTGTGCCCGATTACCAAGGAGCTTGGAATACGGGGCTGAGTGTGCGCGGCGGGTGTGAGGCAGGTTATTCCGGACCTACAAATGATATGGTTTACGGGGCTGAGTGTGCGCGGCGGGTGTGAGGCAGGTTATTCCGGACCTACAAATGATATGGTTGATATGACGAGGCTTGACAGAGCTTCCATGGCATCTTGATGACTACGTCCTGACCTAAATCCATAAGAGTTAGGTATTCAAACCGCGCTTCCTCCCATTCAGGTCGAAGAACCAGTTTAGCTATAATTGCCTGTTTACCTCGATTCGCAAGCAGAAGGAAGGGGTTGTTGCGTCCCAGCACTTCAAAGACATGAAAAGGAAACCAAAGATACGGTAGACTCTGCAAACCCTGCCCGAAAAGGTGTCAGACAATCCATGTCTGGCGCACACATTTCCCTATGAAGCTGGGCTACCAACGGGTCTTCCCGGCTCACCTTGGTTGCCAGGGTGGCAGGGCGGGGCAAGGTCCCAAAGACAGGAACCAGGCTTGGTTCCCAAGCACAAATTGCATGTGGTCAGGAAGTAGCCGGCCCGACCCAGTGCCCCCCCCCCCCCCCCCCYCCYCCCCGCCYCGSMCAGGTTACAGGTTCAATTCCCAAGCACAACCTGCAAGTCGATCATCTCTAATGACTCGTAATGAGTAGTCATGACTGCTTCATAAATGCTGACACCCTGGCACTGTTCCCAAAACACTGCAATCATTTAACAACCCTCCAGAAAAGAAGGTCACGGGTTCAATTCCCAACCACATACTGCAAGTTGACCACATCTAGCATCTAGTGACTGGTTTACAAACTCCGACGTGCTCAATGCAGGAGCGGTGCGCGGTTGCCGAAACACGGCATTTTGCCAAAATATTGTCATTTCACATATGTGTGAAAAAATGTGAACTGCCCATCCCTACCGTCTTCCCCCGAATAGAACTACGGTCATTATAGCTGCATTTGGGGCAACTTCGGTCCACAAACAGCCAGAATGGCCGTACGTTCTATTCGGGGAAGAAGGTAGCTCCATAAATACAGCTTAGGGCCCAAGAAAGTTTCCACTTGATGGGCTTTTGGTGGGTGTCTAAGCCGCTTATCCTCAACATGAAATTTTATGACAATACGACTTTGCACTGCCCGCCTAAATTCTGCCCCCCAAAAAAAGGAGCCTAAATACTGGGCCAAAGGGAGCCCTGTGTGATCATATTATTCATCCACCTGTGGCCCAACGTCATGCATCCCACACTGTCTTTGAAGCTGCCTGCTGGTAGTGGGACCTCTGTCCAGGTTGTGTCTTCCCGTATTAGAATGAGCCATACTTTTATGTGTAGTTATTCCCATTTCTTTATAACAATACGACTTTGCATTGCCCGCCTAAATTCTGCCCCCCCCAAAACGGAGCCTAAATACTGCCCCAAAGGGAGCCCTGTGTGATCATATTATTCATCCACCTGTGGCCCAACGTCATGCATCCCACCCTATCTTCGAAGCTGCCTGTTGGTAGTGGGACCTCTGTCCAGGTTGTGTCTTCCCGTATTAGAATGAGCCATACTTTTATGTGTAGTTATTCCCATTTCTTTTTCTTTTTCTTTCTTTTGACAAGAAAGGGTTCCCTACGGAGGACCTGGCCTCTCTCCTGTATGTAGGATCAGCTTGCCCTGGACACCCTCTTCCTCACCACCAAAACAGTCCTTTCTTCAACCCCTGTGTTGGCCTCGTCGAGCTGGCACAGAGTACCACAGTATGTACTGTGGCCAGACGGTATGGGCAAAGCCAGACTGATGTGCAGGTGGAATTGAGGTAACCTCGTGGTCCAGAGAATACGATGCAGCCTGATCATGAATGTATATATACAAACCCTGTTACGGTCCGAAAACAGGCATGATGAGGGTGCATTGTGCAGGTGGGAAGAGGGTAGCACATACATAGACATTCGTAAAATGTTATACTGGTTCATGGCAGGATAGTGAACTTTTTTATTTTTTGTTTTTTTTCCTCCTTTCCTCTTAAGTTTTCTTT